CTGCTCCATGTCCTGCCTGTGCCCACCTCTGCTTCACTCCCACAGTCAATATTTCAGGTGGGCCCACAGGAGGGTCATTCCCATGCCTGTCTCTGGAGAAGGGAAATGTGAGCACAGATGAGACCGGGACAAGGGCTGGAAGTTTCTACCAATGTTTGCATGGAGCCATTTGCTTGGTTGGAAGAAAATCGTGAGAGGCACCATTACTTTATTCTTTTCTAGCCATCCTTTCCCCCACATGTGCTCTCATTTGCACTCATTCCCAAGATGAGGGATCCCAAAGCTTTCCCAAGCATGAAACTAGTTTTGCACCCAAGACAAAACAGAATTTTCTACTTGAATGATTAAATTTTCCCGCTCCCTCCTGTTTTCTTCTAGATCATCAGGAAACACAAATAGCAACCTATTAATGAGTTAATTTTTTTTTATGGAGGAGTGATTCAGCACTATTACCTTGTGTCAGCTGAGAAATTGGCCCTGGAAGCAGCTCAGACTCCAACATTTTCAAACAACACAATAGTCAAGGTCTGCTATTGGCCACATCTAACACTGCTGTGGAAATGCTTGCTATAAAAATCTTTCTTTAAATTCCAATAGTAATGCATTTTCTAACAACATTAAAGTCAGCCTGCAAGAACAGTACAAAGGCTGGTAAATTCCAGCAGTCCCAGAGCTTTAGAAAATTGTAGATAAAGCTGTTTTTTGTTAAGTTTGACTATAAAGACAGTCCAATACTGCTCCCCATCCTTCCTCTCAACACTTGCTGTATCCATGCAGTCATGCTCTCGGGCAGAAATTTTACTGAAACATGGGATTTTGGGAGTTTTGGAGAAGACAACTGTGTGGGTATAAACTCCCTTTAACAAGAGCCTTTTTGGAATGTGCTGCTGCTCACCAAGCTTCCCCTTGAAAAGGAGCTTCTTTGAAATAAAACCACTTTGCAGAAGTTGTTACTGTTCCTGATTAAGTGTCTTTTAGGTTATTCTATGTAAATTTGATACTGAACAGAAGAAATTCTTGGAGATGCCACCTCCTTCCAACCCCTAGACACAAAGCTTTCTCCAAGAAGGACCACCTGATGTGATTAAAGGAGTGGTGCTATTTGTTTTCTTCTTCTATGCATACAATGGTGAGATTGAATATTCAGCTCTGGTTTAGCTGCTACACAAGGAAATAGTCTGGATATTTAATTACTGCAGCACACTGACCTGGAAAGCAACACGAGTTGTTTTGCTGGCTGCTACATGACACTGGCTTGGCAATAAAAGGCATTGGAGAGGAGCAGGGAAGCAGTGGACAGGGACTGGGAGGTAAAAGGGAATTTGCCTCTCTATATCACCAAGCACTTCCAGAGGGATTAAAAAACAGCAACAGGGCCCTACAACCCCTTGAGCACTGCTGTACCTGGCTCATAGCCTTGCTTTCACCTTATTTCCTGGAAAAACCTCTTGGATTCACACAGTGTTTCATAGACTTATCAACCATAGGACAAAGAAAAGGAAACTTAATGCCCCTATCCCCTTATAACCACGATGGGCACATTCCTCAGCTGGCACAAATCAGCCTAATGAGTGGTGCACAGCTTCACCTGGGGTTTGTGTGTCCCCAAGGCTTGTGCCAAGGAAGACTCAAACCTCTCTCCCAGCTGGGTGCTATTTGCAATTTAGGCAGAGCCCAGTCGGCAGCTGAGCTGCCACACGAGTTGTGCTGGAGATTTCTGTGTGCAACACAGTAAAAATGGTGTCTCTCTGTGCTCCAGCATAGGAGTGACACCCCATTAGAGAGTCTGGGGCTTGGGGGTCCAGCAGACAAGAAACCAAAAGTTTCCATTTTTCCTGAAGAAATCAAAAGGAAACATTTTTTTTTAAAGCAACTGCTTGTGTGAGCAATGATTTTATTGTGCTATTAATATGATCATAAAAAAGGACAACATGTGTTTATAGGCTCAAGTGCTTCATTACTCACTCGATGACTTGGTAGAAATCACTGTGGCATCAGTATAAAGTGCAAAATGGAACAGATCATTGTAGTTGTGTTGTAAAATCATCTGGGCAGGTGACCTTTGAACAAAGGCAATTGATAGCTCCGAGGCAGCTGTACAACAACAGTAAACATAATAGTTGTCCACAGCCACCAGACCTGTAGGAAAGCAAATACACCCCATGCCTGGGAAGGGGAGAGAGTACCAAGGTTTGGGAAAGAGAAGTAAAAGTTGATCTCTGAAGTATATCTGCAAATCAGCCTTGTTTGGGGATGGGGCAGGGAGGGGTGAGTCTGCTGACAGAGGGTGGTGGAGCTGCTGTTAGCACAGCCTGGGCAGGCTCAAACCAATTCCTGGAGCCAGGAGGGGTGGGACAGAAACCCATAACCTGGTCAGCTGGGGGGTCTGGTTCTCCCAGACCTCAGTTTTGTGTCTGATATCCTGCATTGCTGCCACCCCAGCCATTCAAACCCCTAAGAGTGTGGGGGCTGAGCTGGGCTGGGCCACCAGGGGCCAGGAGGCTGCAGGAGCAGGATTGAGGATGTAGCATGAGCTGGGAAGACCCAAACTTTCCCTTGGCTTTTGTTCACACTTATCGGGGCAGATGCTCCTCTTTGTCATGTAATGAGAGATACAAAGGGATGTGGATCCCCTAGTGAAGGTCTTCAAAGTGGCAGCTGGGGAGGGAATGGCTAAATATTGCATGGATCCCCCTGGAGGTGGCTCTGCAAGGCTGGGAGCTGCACAGGGGTGCTGGCTCCTCTGTGGGTGCAAGAACCAGGAGGAAAGGAATTCCCCCTCTCCCACAGGACTGTGCAGACATGCTGCCTCTGCCATTAGGAGACCAAGACACAGAAATCTTCAGGGATGGCTCCTGCCTTGGAAATGGGAGTGAAAGATTGGGAGACACAAGAAATGAAAAACCAGCCTTGTGGATGATGTCACCCAGTGAGTGCAGGGAGCGAGCAGGAAGGAAAAATTACATGTCCCAGTTGTTTCACTTCTTGTCCCTCTGCCTTGTTTCGTCTGTCACCAGCCCCCGGAGCATCCCGACGCCCGGTCGACGGTCACCAACAGGCCATAAATAAAACTGCTGGAGCCACTGGTGTCAACATCTTGGCATTGTTTAGGTCTCCTTGTTTGCCTTTAAAATGACTCTCCTCCTCGGGGTCATGCAGATGAAAAAGCGGGGACCCCCTGCCACTATCCATAGAAATCATCTTGCCATGACTTGTGTTGCACTGCCTTTTTTTTTGCCTGTGAAGTTTGGGGTTTGGGGAGCTGCCCGGGAGCATTACTCATGCTACACCCAGGGCTCCTGCTCCCTCTTGCCCGCCTGTGTCCTGGCACGTCACCTCGGGCGCCTGTGGGTCGCCTGAGCTTGGGCCACATCACCCCTTTTCCTGACTCCCAGAGGCAGAGTTTGGGCTGGATTTGGGGACGGCATCACCCACCAGCCCCGTGCTGCTGGCTTATCTGCTGCATGGCTGTGCCTGGCTGTGCTGCGGATGTTGGCAGGCTGGAGAGTGGAAAAACAAACGGTGGAGATGTGGATCCATGGGTAGAGCCTGGCCGTGCAAACGTGGTGTGCCAGTGCTGAGCCTGGCGTTGGAGGGATGCCACTCTGTGACAGCCTTTGCCCCAGCACTGGAGCTTTGCATCATAGAAGCTGCTAATGAGGCTCTGAAAACACAATAAATACTCCTCCAGAGGCAGTTTTTCATCCATGGGCTTTAATAAAAGGGTGGCTTGAACCCCCCCCACGCCTGCACAGGGTGGGTTGAGCCAACAGACGCTGAGCTATGGCAGCACTGGAGGGGACCAGTGCTCCCCAGTGCCTGGAGCATCTCCTTTCCTCCAGCAAGGGTTGCATGGTGGAAAGCATCATCCTCCATCTCAGCTGAGTTGTGACTTGATGTCAGATTCACTCTCCCTGATCATCTTTAGCCTGTTGTTTATAATAAAAATCAAGCGATCCATCTCTTCTGACAAGAGGAAGAGTTGCTCCAGGAAGCTGTGGACAGGTCAACTTCTATATAAAGGAACTATTACTTGACAGTTTCCTGGCCATAAATAGCTGTCCAGCCAGGCTGGGGATTTTATTTAGAAATAACAAATGAAGTAGGCCATAAGTAACTTCATGACCTTGCTCCCCCTTCATTTCCCACCCATCTCCCCTCCTCACTGTGGTCTTCTCTTCACCCCCAGGTTCCTCAGGACTTCCAGGACCCCCCTGCATGCCCCAGCAGAGCATATCTCTCCATCTCCCACCTGCAAGAAGCTGTAGAAACATGCTGTTGCCAGCTTTTGAAAATGTGATGTTTTTGCATCGCTGAAGATCTTTTTCTACAGCTCAGCTCTAAGAATTTGTTTTCTACTTGGTTTTCATTAAATAATTAAAAAGTAATCTGCTCTGCATGGCTGAAAGCTGGAAATCCTCCACTCAAAACATCCCAAAAACTGGATGCAAAAAATATAACTCCAACATATCCTTTATTTTTCAATCCTTCAAACCTTTCTGTTAAGTTTTGGAGGACTAACTTCTGATTTTCTAATGCTCAGAGCTGGCAATATCAAAACCTGTGAGGAAATACAAAAGAGAAAACAGCATTTCTGTATTCTTTTATTATTGGGAGGTTTTGACCATTTTTGTCATGTCATTTGCCTAAAATAACAACGAAATACTCTTTGTTTGGAGCTGGAAAGGGAAGAGCAGTGTGTTTATTTCATGTATGACTCATCAGCTCAGTGTTGATACGCGAAACGCTTCAGAAGCTAACACTCTATAGAGAGATGATCGTTTTTAATATAAAACAATAAATGTTTAAAACAACCGTTGCTTTTTTTTTTTCTCTTTTCTTCCTGTTGTGGCCAATAAAACATAAGGCAGGCCACATAGTTTACATTTTAATAAAATTAAGTTATTTGGTGCCATGTTATTACAGTCTTTATTGGAAAGTGGAATAAATTGCACACAGAGGAGACATAGGAGGGAGAAATCACTGCGAATAAACATAGATTCTGGGATGCATTTATTTGCTGTTTTCATCTCAAAGGAGGAAGGCTTTCCCCGGGAAAGTGGAGGTGGCCCCCAGGTTCTGGCCTTGGGGAGGCAGCCCTGGGTTGCTCCAGGGAAGGATGAGCTTTTTGGGGAGCTGGTACCACAGCAGAGCCATCCCAGCCCCATCCAGCTTTTCCACATACATCCTCCAAGAGAAACCTGTCCTGTGGCTGTGGGACACCCTGCAGTCCTGAGGCGCTGGGGCAGCCCGTCCTCCTGTCCGTCGGCCGTTTGCGGGGCCAGCCGAAAACATTGGTCCCGAGGCTTTTTGCTGGAGGTTGAGGGTTTCTAGGCAAGTGCCAGGGCACACCAGGAGTCCTGTCGAAGTGGCACACTCAGCCCAGGCTGCGGGGCCATGGTGGTGGGGGAGAAGGTGTAGTCCTCGGGCTCGAATTTGAACTCGCCGTGGCCACCGGCCAGCGCCTCGTCCGACTGGCTTTGTGCCTGCCCCAGGGAGGGAAGCAGAAAGGCATTAGAAAGCCAATAGTTATTAACCAACAGGTCACTCAGCCCTGTGTCATAGCACAGTGGTAGGATTAGGATGGAACAGAGTGGGTTACCCCTTCGGAACAGCCTGGAGCTGGGCAGGAAGGACATTCCATTCCAAGCAAGCACAATGCCCAGGCAGGGAGGAGGCATCCCAGGGCCCACCTGCATTTATTTATTGATTAAATATGTCCAGTTTGGAGATCTCTAGGTGTGGGTATATTTTTTCAGAGCTCAGAACAAACCAGGTTTCTTGGTTTCAAGCAAAAAAAACCCCTATCCCATACGGTGTAACTGATGCTGCGCCAGGCACTTGGGTGCTGGGGCTGAGCTTCCCCTCCATGCACATGTGTCCAGCTCAGCAAGAGCTTAGACTCAACATAAAGACAGTGTTGGGTCACAAAATTTTGATGTGTGGCTTGATTTAGACCTGTTTTTTCCTCCATCAATATGAAATAGCAGCCAACCCCAAAGGAAAGCTCAGGGTACAAGCACCCTGAGGCCTCTGACGGGTCGCTGAGCACCTCGGGGCTATAAGGTGCAGACAATGTTTGCCCAGGGAGCCTTTTCTTGGGAACTACAGAGGATTCCACCCTGGGCTGATCTCACCAACTCGACAGGGTTGTGACTACCAGGATTTCATGGCAGAAGATGGAAATTAAACTCAGCTCTGCACTGAAGCCTTTTCACCACCGATCACCTCTCACAGCAGGGCTCAGACCTCCCAGTTCCCCACTGCAAGACGAAAGAGCTGATGAGGAGCCAACAGGCTGGAGCCCTTCCTGGTCCGTGATGTCTTGGCTCGTGCTCCCTGCTTTCCTCAGTCTGAGGCAGCAATGACCTAATTTCTTAACCTCATCAGGGCCTCCCAGGTCAGTGGCTGTGGAGGTGTGTGGATCATCCAGCCCAGCAGGGGATGGCTGCAGGTCCCTGTGCCTCACCTGGGACACTGACACGATGGTTTGTCCGGGATACTGCGAGGTTGTGCTGGGCTCTGATTTTAAAGTGACCGTGCTGTCTGAGTTGGTAATGGAAGAAGGGGAGTTAGTGGCCGAAGTTGTAGATCCTGGAAGATAATTGGTAGAGGGTGGTGAAGCAATGTAGGCGCAAACCTGCTCTTAAAGAAATTTATATTTTAATGACAATAATCACATCTCATGGAGTGATCCTACTGTTCTTTCTCTACCAAATCTCTGTCAGTGTAAGTCTTTGTATTTGGCTGCCAAGATGCTGATGGAGGAGGAGGGAACCCTTTCACAGTCTGGCAGTGCTGGTACAGGATGGATGGGCTAATGCTGAATGCATCATGATACATTCCCCTCAATCTTTAATATGCCATTCCCACCCATATATTTTCCCATTACTCAATTTAGCCCTAATCTGCTTGAATGTGGGCACTGCTGGGCTGGATCTGGGTATCCACATAGGAACCCCACAGGAATATGACAGGACTGGGATTCCCACCCAGCATCTTCCTTTCACATGAGAATAAATACAGACCCTAGATCTAAAACAATCATCAGTGGAAAAAAAAATCACAATATTATTTTCTAATTATCTATTTCTTGCAGAAGACATGTTGAGGTGAACTGTGCTCCAAGCCCTCAGGATGGATGATAACAGCACTGTACCTGTTGAGGCTTTGCCTTTGGTAATGTTTTTAGGCTTCCTTTTCCTCGTCTGGATGCTTTCCTTTTTCATGGCCAGAGGTCGTGGTACCTTGACATTCATAAAGTTTGGAATCATTAATATTGTATTTTGCTCAGCTCCTTTCCACACATGTGTTGCTCTCCTATTTATGTGCTGTAGCTCATGCAAAGCACCTAAAGTCCTTGTCCTTCACTGAGTGCTATTTTTCTCTGCAACAGGCCTTGGCTGGAAGATGTATAAGGCTAACAGCTAAGGTTTTCCCACAGATTTTGTTTTTTTCCTTTATTTCTTATTGTTCTTTTCCTGATTTATTAGTGACCTTTATGATGGGGCCTTATTAAATTACACTGACACACTGAGAGCCTACATGGCTCAGATGGAACAGTCATGGGGTAAAGAGACTTCAACCCTTATGGCAGAAGTTTGAAGAAGCCTGTATGGAGGGATGGAGTGTTCTCTTTGGCTGATGGGCATGTTATCAACAGTTCCCATCCTCTGTGAATAAATGTCATCAGCCAGCCTCCATGTGGCCTCCTCAGCATCCTTCACACATTTTCAATTAGTATATATAAAAGTTTGGGTTTGGGGACCTTCAGTCTCCAGCTACTGGAGCCTGGTAAGCTTTCTTTGTCATAGAACCCTAGGACAGCTTGGGTTGACCAGTTAGTTCCAACCCCTCTGCCATGGGCAGGGACACCTTCCACTAGACCAGGTTGCTACAAGCCCCATCCAACCTAGCCTTGAGCACTTCCAGGGATGGGACATCCACTGTTTCTTTGGGCACTCTGAGTGTTTCAGTACCCCCTTAGCCTGGGAAACCCCAGTAGACTGAGCTTTTAACTGTTCAAGGAGACAGGACTGGGTTTCAGCTCTTCTGGGTCCAGTCTAGGGGCTGGTCCCTCCACACCTGATCTCCCAGAGCTGCTGGGCAGTGATCCCAATACCCAAAGGGTCCCTCCCAGTGTGGACATGTTCCTCACCCCGTGGAGCTTCATGTACAACCCGCAGGCGTTGCAGACGGGCTCCCCTTCGGCGTTCCTTCTCCAGAGGGTGGTGTTGGTTGTGTGGCAGTTAGTGCAACATAGGCCAGCACGTCTCGATGAAGACTTAAAAACAAGCAAACAAACACATGAGTGCACACATAAGAATGATGAATTGGGAAGTTTCCTTTCCTACAAAAATAAAATCTCCAACTACACCATTTTCCTGGAAAATGTGAAACACACGTGATAACCAAATTCAGATCAAAGAAATTACATTCAAATGAGATCACTCTAATTTGCAAGTGGTTTTTTTGTTATTGAGATCTATAAACATGGCAAGTATCCTTGCAACTCATTTCACAAACTTCCAACAAATCTTCTGGAAGTGATCAGGACTCAGAGCAGAGAGAACTTCCCTCCAGGAGATCCACTCAGATGGAGAAAGAGGTGGAAAATATCAGCTGGACTTTAAAAGCATGAAGAAAACTCCTCATGCTTTACATGAACTCCTCTGTTTTTCTGCACTCAGAACTACAGCTAAAGTTAGCAACATCCCAATTAATCTCTGGTTTAAGACAACTGGAATCAATTGGCTGAACTGAGCAGAACCGAACTGAACTGGTCCATGGTGACACCAGGGAGGTTATTCTTCACGTCTCACAGATCATCTGTTCTCTTAAAGGCTGCAGAAACACCCTGTAGACATTAATTAATGACATATTTTATGAGTGCAGTGATTGCTGGCTCTGAAATATTAATAATTCCAAATGGAGAAGGAAAATGTTCTGGCAGAAGCAGCAAACTCATTTCTGACAACTTTCCTCCAAGCCACTGGAAAATTCACCTCTCTCTTTATACAGACTTGTCTGCTCAGTAGACATTTCATTTGGAACTGTCTGAACATTAAGTATTAAACCTATTCTAGTAAAAGATCTCACTAGGTATAAGGTACCTGTGGCATAAGTAATATCTCAGGCTCTCCACATTCAGGTGTGTAAAGATGTTCTTCAGCCTTGAGAAAAATCACTTTGAATCCACTCAAAGGCAGATGATAGGTGATGCAGGCAATAAAGAACTCCCTGTTTGTTTATTTTTCCATTATTGCCTGATATCCTGACTGAGCAATATAACAAATGAGGTGGGAAGAGTAGGAATAAAAATGAAATGTTTTTACAAGGTTAGCAGGCACATAAAGATCAGCTTTGAGTTTCAAGAGGCACAAGTGACATGGCCAAGGTTTGATTCACTTGTTGCTCAGCAAAGAGGTCTCAGCAACTATTTGCAAATAGTGGTATTGCTTTGGAAATGATTCAGCTTTCAAGAAATAAACCAGGCAATAATAATAATACATGGGGGTGTGAGCTGACAAGCCTGGCACAGGGGATGAGATAGCAGACCTTGTCTCTAATGTGGGACATGGTGTCACAGCAAGATCCAGGAGCAGCTACAGCTTTTCAGCTGCTGGGGCTGTGCCGTTCATCCTGCAATTGATGGGAGCAGAGGAAGGTGAACACTTGATGGGTGTAAGGGTTCTGAGGTCCAACTCCTGCTATGGACACAGAGGGGAATTTGGAGGCACTCAGCCTGGAACAACTGCTCCTGGTGCAATCTGTCATCACTTGTGGATGGGAGGAGGCCAATTCAAAGCCTTTTGGAAAGCCCCAAAGTTTCTGGGCCACTGCTGGTCCCTGGGAGGCAGGGACACGCTGTCCCTGTTTCACACAACATTTTGTCTGCAGCTTGCAGGTGAGATGGCAATGAGACCTGTGGCTCTGGTGACCCAAGGGCAATACCAGCCCTGCCAGAGCTTGGCCCACCCTGCCAGTGCTGCTCATGGGCTTCCTGCTGGGGCAGCGACATGTGCCTTCTGCATCTCCTGCGCAACACTCTGCAGGCTGGCTCCCCCTCACGCAGCCAGTGAGAGAAAAAAACATCCTCTACCACCAAATATTACAATTTTAATCTGAGAAACCCCATGAGAACCTGCCCCTGCACAACAACCTGCCAGATTAGCAAGAAAGAGACAGTCAAGGCTACTGTTGCTCACTGAAGGACGAGGGTACAATACCTTATTGCTGGTTTCCCAGCAGTTCTCTTGAAAGAAAATGCATTTCTGCCTGGCTCCACCCCGCAGCCTTTGTACCATTCTGACCTTGTCTAGGAAGTTGTTGACTTCAACATTGTGCTCAGTGTTTATTTATACAAATGCAGCATACACTCAAACAAAAACTCTTCATGGACCGGGCTTGACAGCCAAGTGCTGCTGATAAGCTCAAGGAATGGTGAGTTGGTGCCTATCAAATCAACCACGTGTAAGCACTGCTTTGAGAGCCCAAAAAATTCAGAGCCAACAGGACAGGTCTTTCCAAGGGAGACCAAGCCATCAGAGACTTTGTTTCACCTCCTTTTCAAAGGTAAAAAAGAAACTGCAGGGTTTCACAGGAAAAAAGAAGGCACTGAAGCCTCAGATTTAATCAATGCTTCTCTGTCCCCCTTTCCAGCACGATTGAGGGGATCTGTTGTTTACAGGAAAAATGTTGTAGCAAAGTGTGCTGAGATATCTGAGCTCAGCTCCTGAAAGTGGGCAGATCTGAGGCTCAGAGCCAAAGGCAGCAGCATCCTCTGAGGTTTGTCTTTGTTACTAAGGCTCTGGGCAAACCTGCACTTTCGAGGATGAGGGAGCAGCAGGAACTGAAGGGCAGGAGAAATCCAAGGCACACACCATAAGCACTGAGTGGTTCTGGGGTCCTGTTAGATTGTCCCAGGCCTGTGAGCAGTCCCACCCTCACCTTCTGCAGAAGTGTCACCAAACCCACTGTGTATTGCAAACTGTAAAAAAGGACAGGCTGAAACCTCCTGAGCCAAAGTCAAAAAAAATAATCCTTGAGCCAAGCCAGAAAAATTCAACTCCAGGTTAGTCCTTTAGCTCAGGACTGTGTGGGAGCTGCTGAGCACAGGACAGCTGCTGCAACTGCCCCCCTTTGCTGTACCATGCAGGGCAGATCCCCTTGAAATAGGGGGGAATTGCAAGTCTGGGATGCAGCCATCCACCTCCACCAGCTGCTCCTGATGGCAAAAGTGATCTGGCTTTTCAGACTGGATCTAAGGTATCTTGTGAAACACACCAAGAAACCTCAGCTACAAAAGGTGCTGCCTAAAACAAAGCGCTGCCTCCTCCTCCTTTAAGACAAACCCTTTCTGCCGAAAGCCACAGTGCTTTGAATCCAGACACGGGCTGTAGCAGGATGGCTGTCCCTGCTGCATAGAGGATGTCACCCTTATCTCAAAAAAAAGAAACAAAAAATGAAGTGGGAACTACGCTACGACTGCTCGCCCTCTCCCACGCACGAGCAAGGCTGAGCGCTGCCGAGCCGCGGGACGTCATTCCCGCAGCGATATCTGGGCCACGTCGTGTTCTCCAGGGCTTTATGGGGGACTTTGCTTTGTGAAACACAAGTCAAAATAACTCCCAACGCGGCGTCTACGTACAGAACAAAGGTCATAACGTAAAGGACAAAAGCAACCATTTTTCCTTCCCGTGCCCCTATTTCGCTGCATTGTGAAAGCCAATTTCATCGTTCGTGGCATGTCTCTGTGTTCACTGCTCTGCTCTCACCCAGCCTGTGTGGGTGAAGCAGGGAAGACATCCATCCCCTGCTATGGAAATTGTTTGGGAGAATAAATATCCCAAGCCACAGGGGTGCAAGTTGCTCCCTCTGCGGTGGGTTTGCAGAGGTCACCTGGCACCCTCTTGTCCATCATCAATAGATCCACTGAGGCACAGTTTGCTGCAACACGACATTTCAAACCCTTGGGGAAACCCAAGATTTTGAAATGTTTCATTGAAAATTCAGGATGGAAAGTCAAAATTGCAGCCCCTTTTCTAACCCATAAAACAAATCCCCTCAAGTATTTAAACCGTAGGAAAGCGCTTCCCCTGGACAAGAATCAACCCTTTAATTTGAGCTTTAACTTCATTGTATTGATTGCCAAATAATGATAAAAAAGGTCGGAAGTACTTTGGTAATTCCCAACTAATTTGCTCCCTGGGAAAGCGGTCTTAATTCTGCGAACAAACATTTTCCACCACAAAATTTTGTTGGAATGTTTGCCGAAAAAATTTATGCCGAAGTGCACTCATGGATGCCGTGGATGAGGCTCGGGCAGGGTGCAGGCAACGCACGGCCGCCTCCTTTCCCATGCGCCACAATAAAACACTGAGGAGCAGAGAGACCTCGCCGATTTCCTCAGGGAAAAGCTGTTCAAAAGAACTCTGGAAGTTCATCCACTGGCGCTTATGGATGCCATTCCAAAATGCGGAGTTGAATTTAAGCTGGTTTGCGCCTCCTTCTATGCACGGATTGTGCTCGCTCTGAAGAAATCGGCAGCGCAACTCTGAGATTTGCGGCACAGCAGATTTAATGTTAGAGGAGACAGGAGGGTTTTGGAGAGACAGGCAAATCCTGTCGCATAATGCTAAATATTTCACAGAAAAGCCTTGATTTTGATGTGATGAACAGAAAAGGGGGATTTTCTCTGGAGCTACCACCCATTTCATTTTGCAAATCCAGACCTGCATTTCTGGAATTGAAATCAGAATGAAACATCTTGCTCGGTCTCAACTTTCTTTTTCTTAAAGGTTTTCTTGCACAGAAACTTGTCTCTATTGGGTTATTGCTAATAATTTGTTTTGCAATACAAAAAAAATAACTGCAGGAATACACCCTGAGTGAAAGCTCAAGAAGCTCCCAGCTGTTCCCCAGCACAGCTCCAACAAACATCCTGTTTTTAATGACAGCTTCTGATGACAGCCTCTAAAACCAAAACTGTTACCACCAAATTTAAACATCCCAAAGCGACTGCACAGAAAAAAAGAGGAGGCGCCTTTCCTCTCTCTCCATAGGATCCCAGATGGAAGAAGCCCAATATTACACTGGGGGGGGGAATTAGTGTTTAACCTTCAGGGAAACTGGGAACTGCCAAACCCCCAGTTTTCCCCTTAGGCGGGCAGGGAACTGGGCCCCATCCTGCTCCCATTGCAAGCAGCCACAAACCTGCTGGGCCAGCTCAGGACCAGCCCTGCCTCCTGTGCAACTACCCTGCCTAGGCTGCATGTGTCTGCAGGAAGAACTAGGAAATAATAATGACAGCAATTATAGAATAAAAAGCAATGCACCCACTGCAGGAATGGAGCCAGGGGAAGCCCACAGAGTCCCAGCCAGTGGCAGGGCTGACTGTCCCTGCTTGGCTCTGGTGCAGACCCTCTGTGCAGCCCCAGAACCCCTTCAGTCCCTGTGGCTCTGTTTCCCCTGCCCACCAGTCATTGCCGGGGCAGCAATCCCTCTGGTTTCATCCCATTCCCACTGACCCCAGCCGTTTCTGCACCACAGCAAGGGTCTCCTGCCAGTGCTGATGGCAACTGATCTGTGGGAGGACCGAGAGTCAAACAGATCCTAACACAAGAACAGAGACCTCAGCAGTGCAGGCACCGAGTCAGCTCCCCGGCCCCTGCCCTCTAGCCACCCCCGGGTGAGTCCCGGGGAGTTTCCCCCTCTTACCAGCCTCTTCTGCGGCTTGAGCGGCCGGTTGATGCCGTTCATTTTGTGGTAGAGCCCGCAGGCGTTGCACAGGTAGTGCCCGGTGCCGTCCTTCCTCCAGAGCGGTGTGGACATGGCTCCACAGTTCACGCATTCCCGGCCATCCCCGGGGAACTCCTCGAGGTACTCTGGAAGAGATACACACGGCGTAAGGGTCAGGAGCCACCCCACCGCACAGGGGGACCCTGCGGGAGAGAGTCTACAATCCTCTTTGCCCCAGTACTGGGGACAATCCCGGTCCGGGGAGAGTTTCCCTCCAGCCTACCAAGTGTGCACCAAACCCCTTTATTCCTTCCACACTTTAATCTTTTAATATTTTGCTTAAAGACAACACATTCCTCCATCCCTTCCCTGAAAGACCCCAAAGAGCAGAACACGGCTGGGGTCTCCCTGGGATGGGAAGGGGCTAGGATTCTACCAGTGGGAGAAAGAGATATTATACCGGGATGCAAAAATAAATGAGGGGAAAAATGAGACCGTTTTCCTGATTTCTATGAAGACAGAGGGGAAAAAATGGGACCGTTTTCCTGATTTCTGTCAAGAAAACCCTGAAGCCGCTGGCCGGCGAGGACGGCCCGGCCGGGGAAGGTTCGGGGCTGCCCGTGGAGCGATGCCGGGCTGGCTCCCCGGGAGAGCATCACCGGCCAGCCGCGACCCCAACTCCTGCTAGCGAGACTCTTCCTCACTTTTTGTCTCCCCGCAAAAAAAAAAAAAAAAAAAAAAAAGAAAGAAAAAATTTAAAAAAGTCCCATGAAGGAGCCGCGGGGCCGCTCCGAACACCGTCCGCGGTCCGTCCCTGCCCCGCGGCAAACGGGCAGCCAGAGCGAAACCGGGGGACCCCTCAATCGTGAGTCGCTCTCTTTCCTCCTACTGCCTTTTTTTTTTTTTAACTTTCTTTTTTTAAATAACTTCCTCTGCCTGAACTGTTATTTTCTTCCGAAGAAAAATACGCCTTTATTTTTTTAAAAATAAATCGTCTATCGTATTAATAATGATCCAAAGGAAAGGAAAAGGGAAAAGAACAAAACTTAAAGGGGGGGAGAAATGGAAAATAAAAATGAAATGTAAAAAGAAAAGTATAAAAAATTATTGCAGTAATTAATTACATTAAAAATAAATAAATAAACAAAAGAATAGTTTGGACTACTTAAGAGCAGTTTACACAATTCAAGAGCAAAAATAAACGGCAGAGAGGATGGCTGCCGCTCTCCCGGATCCTAAAGCACCGAATTAAAAGAGCAGAAAAGATTTCTGGGGGATCGTCTCTGGCAGGACGATCCCTTCTCGCACAACGCAAAGGATTTCCCCAGACAAAGAGAAAGTCCTGTAAAGAAACCGCTGCCAAGCACCTCCGGCGTGGGAGGAAAAGCCGAGCCGGTGAGACAGCCCGGTGGGGAGGGGGCTGCTTCCCTGCTCTAACTTTGTTCTTGGGGTGAAGATAAGATAATTCGGTTCACCGCAGTAAAAATGATAACGCGACTGAGATCTTGAAGTGGCTTCTAAAGGACTTTGCAAACCGCAACCGGAGGAGGCTGGTGAAGTGCCCCCGGGGTTATAAACCCTGAGCACGAGGAGTTCTGTTAAATCAAGCCCAAAACTTTATTTGCCTAGAGTTTGGTTTAAAAGGACTTTTGGTGTGGATGCAAAGGAATTGAAGTGAGGTTTATTGTTCAACGCCTGAGCGCGTTTCAGTGTCTCCCCAAAGGCCGCAAAGGGATGCAGCTGCCGACCTGTTTGGGCGAAGGTGAATAAGGAGACCGAGAGTCTGTTCAAATATAAACTAATTTACCACAATAAATTACTTAAAAGGGAGGGAGCTATAAATCTGCCCCGCTAATTTAAACACAAGGGTAAGTATTGAAGCACAGGCACAAAGTCGATATTGTGGGAAGGAGATACCGCGGGGGTGGTGGTGGAGTGGGGGAGAAGGGGTCGAACGGCCTCTGCTCCCCTGTCCTCCGGGGGAATTGCTCTGCTTTGAAACGTGGTCTTTGCCCTTCTTGTCACACACGCACACCCCCCCACACATCCCATCTCTACCCAGGGTCAGCCGAACACACCCCGTTCCCGGACCATCTCTCCATCCTGGGGTAAAATCATCTCCTCTGCTGTCGGGGATGCCAG